AGATTGTAGCAACTGAAACACATGAAAGCTGAAAACATTGCTATTTTTCCCACTCACAAATTTCCCGACAATTTATTAGAAAATTTCTGACGGGGGTACAACACTGAGGGGTCATAAATTATTTCTGGGGGGTCATATGCCCTCCTGCGAAACCCTGTGTCTCCACCACTGTTTTCAGACTATTTTTGGCAACTTAGCCTGGTTGAAATTTTGTTGGGGGTGACATTGTGTCACCCCTTCTGTGCTAGCACCCGTGGCGGATTTACTTTACCCTTACGAAAATGAAATACATATGTATAAATCCGAAGAAGTCCCAATGAGAGACGTGTTTCCCTTAAATAAATAAGTGAGGTTGGCTTCATCATATGACCGTGCCCCGGGGTGAAACTGGTGACAACGAAAACACATCGGCTGGAAGAGTGGTTACCCTGTCATCAGGGCAACACTCTTACAGACAACGTCGATACGGTTTTAATTCGACACCGTTTCAATTCGTACATGGAAGCACATTTTTCTTTAATAGAATCCCTAGATCTAGGCCGGTTGCTATTAATTTCACAGCTTAAGAAAAAAAAAGCAAGAATCTCAAATCAGCACGTGTACCCAATAAAATAACGTTAATAATAATGTAATAAATAATATATATATATATATATATATATATATATATATATATATATATATTATGAAATGGACAAAGTCCGACAATTATTTTAAGAAATTTCTATATATTCTTTTTATAAATACAAATATGTAAGTAAATGCTCTGTTTATAATAAAATAAGAATGTATAAACATAAAAATGTCTTAAAATAATTGCCGGACTTTGTCCATTTCATAATGTGTGACGTCATTTGTTTACATTTGGATATGCCATGAGCAGATATGAATGTACGTCAGAGATTCATGGAAGATTGTAGTTTAAAGACAATAAAATCGACATTGCTAACCGAACGCTACTCTGTGGCCAAATCGGTTAAGGCACGCCAGGCTATATGACGGTTCCGTATAAGATACAGGTTCGATTCCTGTCGGAGGACGAATATTTTCTATGAAAATTTCTCGGACATTCAGGTCGGTAAATGTTGTTTAATAGTGTTTATTATAGAGTATTTACTTAAATATTTGTATCTATAAAACGAATGTAAAAATGTCTTTATATATATATTAGGCTGTTTACATTTTATATTATAAAGCGGTAATCATACAATGAATCAATTAGCAGTATTAATGTAATTAATGGCGAATTCTCTTCGCTAACAGATTTAATATAACTCACTAACAATCCATTGAATGACGCGATGTATAAAATTGTTGTCAGATAGATCCGTTGTATTTTTTAGAGCAGCAAGTATGCTGTCTAATATAATACGTGTATAGAAAACGATTGATCCGCAGTACGAAATTCAGGAAAAAAAAACTACTAAGACATATCACTCTATTAATTGAACTATATACTTAGTTCATGTCACGTTAACTAGAAAACACTTACAACAAAAGAATTTGTGGATTTAACACATTATAAAATTCATGTAAAAAAATTTCGTTTGGAATATTTGAACTCTGCACGTTTCAATATTTTATAATCGTTAATAAATAACACATGTTAAAAAATGTTTTGGTCTACAATATTTATTTCGTCTTGAAGTTTTATTTCTAAATGAAAAAAATCACCCTACAATTCTTAAAAAACACCTAAACACCTTGTATTCTTTTAAAAGTAAAAGATAACATTTCTGTAACTACAGATTATTTGCTTTTATCTTTCAATCTTTATCCAGATTTCTTCTACTACTAAAAAGTTCAAATTTGGATTCGTTTTTCCACAACACATTTTGATAAATTATGGATATTTTTATGAGGAAGGTTATATTTTGTTTTCCCCATTAACTCCTCAGTAGAGATTACCAACATTTTCAACTAATTTAAATGTTAATTTAGGTTCTAAATGTTAAATCCAGAGTCTAATGTTGTAAATAACACACATGTACTGTCTGTGATTGCAAAACAAATGATTGTAACATTACGAGAGTACTTTCATAGTTTACTTTCAAGTAATTCGCACAAAATGGCAAAATCAAAGCAGCTAAACATTGAAGTGGGGGTACAATTTGAAATTTTATTCAAAGAAGGCTACTCTGAAAGACAAACTACCAATAAGTTTCATGGGGTGCAATATTCGTTAAAAAGGTAGATGGTATTTATCAATTCACCCACAGGAATTGAATGTGGCACAAGGCCTTTTTAATGTGGGTATGTCTGAGCCCGTAGGCCCAGCCAAAAATAAAACCCATCTAAACCCGTCCAAGCAGGCTAGTTCCGTCAACCTCCCCGAACGAAACCCCACCCTTCGGCGGAGCCTCGTCAGGTTCCTCTCTGCAAGCAGAGAGTTCGACGAACACCCGGCTCGGCAGCTCACAAAGCGCAGATACTACACTTTGATCCTAGCCACCGGGCCGAGCGGGTACTCTTTTTTTAGATTCGTTAAAAAGGTAGATACAAACAGGTGCAAATATTGACAGAAAAATACCCTGGCACACGAAAAGTGACACCCGTTACTGAAGATAAACATTTGAGTAATGAGAGCAAACGAAACAGTAGAAAAACTGCTCCAGAGTTTACAGATAAATATAATTCATCTCGACGTCAACAGGTGTCGCTCTCACCTGTGAAAGATCAACTCAGGAAGTGCATAGCCATCAAGACACACCTGTCAGGGAAGGTGATTACGCAGAAAAGGCTGTTATGGGCAAAACAGCATAAGAACTGAACACTGAAAGGGGCAAACTGTATTGTGGGCAAACGAGTCCAGATCTGAAATATTTGGTATTAAGAGGAGAGTTTATGCGAGAAGAAAGTCAGTGAAAAAATTAATATGTATTCCCAACATGCTGGTAAGTGTGTTATGATATGGGGTCGTGTTTTAGAGTAGGGAATATTGGAGATTTGATTCAGGTCAAAGGAATCATGTAAATGAACAATATCTTTGATTTTGCAAAGACATCCTATATCACCTTGTTTATCATAATTGGAAAGACAATGATCCAGAACACACTTCTAAATTATGCAAAAATTACCAAAAGGAAAATAAAAAAGGAACAAAATTTTGGAAATGATGACTCTGTAAGTCTGAATCTCCTGACCACTCTCCCATTGAATTATGGGGGATTTCAACGAAAATTGGGTGATAGGAAAAATAAATTTCCACTCGACTCAGTTCCCGCTGACAGCTGACATGGAAACCGGAACAATGCTTCGTTCGGGACTCTGTTTCCTGCACACCGTAAACAACAGTACTATCACTCTTTCTCTGGAGCACGAGTATAAACTCCACCAGTCTCAAAGAACAGAACTTCCCGAAAACAAAATGCTAGCTTCTATCTAATTTATCTCGACAGCAACCAGTGTCGCTCTCAACTGTGAAAGATCAACTCAAGAAGTGCATAGCCATCAAAACATACCTGTTAGGGAAGGTGACTCAGCAGAAATAAAATAAAAACGGTTATGGGCAAAAAAGCATAAGAACTGAACATTGAAAGGGGCAAAATGTATTGTGGGTAAACGAGTCCGGATCTGAAATATTTTATCCTTCCTTGGTCTCGGACATGAAACCGAAACATTTCGCTTGTGTTAGCCTTGTTCTCGCTGATAACGCATGCGCTGTGTCACTTCAATATTGAATTGCCGGAGTTCGTCTCCGATGTTTATGATGTTTACAAGCACATGTACAGATAATTCACTTTCTCTTGCTTCGGCAAGTTATGTCTCCACCACAAATTAGTATGGGATGAATTGCATAGAAGTGTTCGAAGAGAATATCCAAAGAGTGAGAGTGAGCTTTTTCAATGCTTGAAGACTACTTGGGAACGTCTGTCATCTTCCTTTAAAAAAAAAACTGTTGGAAATAATGCCAAGAATTTGAAAAGCGGTAATTAAAACATGAAAACAAAAGAAGATGATGTTGTATAACTTTTTATAGTCAAGTCTTTGTTTTTGTCAAGATATAAAGCAAATGCATTGTAGTTACTGAAATTTAATATTATACTTTTAAAAATAAAAATATATCTTATTTTAATGTGTTCTTTTAAAGGAATATAGTAGAAATAAAACGGTCAGAAATTCGCACGCCGACAATCCACTCTTTCTGCGTTTGGCTTTTTTTGCGTTGACTCACTTGTTCACTGACGCTGACATGATATGCGTTCGGAGGTAAGTAACATAATCCGTAGGCAGCAACATCGGGATATTCAATCAACGATTTTCTGTTATAGTCGACTTCATGAGTCTATGCATAACCTCTGCCTTTTCGGTGTGTTTGGTCTGCATACGCAAAACATGAATTCTTTATTCTGACAAAGGAACGATCGACCAGTGTAATTTCGAAAGACAAAACATTCAAAGGAAGAAGACCTTGCACATAAGAAGCTCAATATCAAGTGTAATAATTTTATATATATATATATATATATATATATATATATAAAAATATTAAGCAGAAGTGCCTTGTCAGTCGTCTTCAATGAAACCTGCTCAAATGTAGGATTGATGCCCAACCACATAATATATATATATATATATATATATATATATATATATATATATATATATATATATTATCTTTGATATGGAGCACTTTTACTCATAGTATAACCTAAAACTACATTTTATCTTATATATATATATATATATATATATATATATATATATATATATATATATATATATATATACGATTAAGTAATGAAAATCTTGTTAATCCGTATGGATAACCCATCTCAAGGAGGATGAAATCCAGAGAGTTCAATGATAAATCAGAGCGATTAATTCAATGAAAACAGACAACTTTAAGGTTCCATCAGACTACACTTTTAAGTGTGAAAAAAATTAATTTAAATTTACATATAGTTTTTATACACTACTGTGGGGTAAGTTGGAAGTGTGGTCTGATGAGCCAGGGAAAGAGAAATTCCCTGGGGAAATAAATTATAACCAATAGACCCTTAAAGTTGTCTGTTTTCATTGAATGCATAGATAGATAGATAGATAGATAGATAGATAGATAGATAGATAGATATGTCCGTGTGTATAATTTTTAATGGCTACCCATATTTGAGTAGACGTTCTATTTATTAAACAGTATATTTAGTTATTTCCATCTACCGACCTCAATATCTGTGAAATCTTCGGAGAAAAATATTAGAAAGCAATAAATTAAAATATGGCGGATTAATAAATGAAAAATTAATTTCTATTGTCTTTGTTTACGTTAGGATACGAAACTGAACAGAGAAGTTTATTTCGAGAATCAGAGAGAATGCGTTCCTAATTACTGTTCGGGTTTTGCCTGGGCCTATAGTCTCTTTGTGATCGAGAGGTTAAAGCACTTCAGATCTAAACATATTCAAATTTTCAGAGAGAAAACTTATAGTGTGGAGTGATCAACTTCTGGACTCAGGCTCTTGCGCTCCGGTGATTAATATAGCCATCAACGATTCCAGCACTTTCGCCAGCACCATTCCACGAATAATGCTTGTGTCAAACAATGATATGTTTTGCAGGCACTTTCCAACGGTGCAATTATTGAGGCCATTTTGCTCATGACGCTATTTTGAAAAAATGTCATCCCTTGCAGGAACCACCGCTAATATATATATACACAGGGTGTAACAGAATTCATATATATATATATATATATATATATATATATATATATATATATATATATTTAAAAAAAGTTATAACATAAATATGTTATAAAATCACTACAAAAATAGCCATTTTGTTTCAACATTCCCGTTGTCTTATCAAGTGATGATGTTGAATGTAAAAAAATCAACATCATCACCGGGGGTGTAAACAAAATGGCTATTTTTGTAGTGATTTTATAACATATTTATCTTATAATTTTTTTTTAAATAAATAATTATATCTGCTCTACTGTATTGAGCACTATTTAAGAATAGTAATTGTTGGTTATTCCGCATACACCAATTATATATATATATATATATATATATATATATATATATATATATATGGGGTAACTGCAAAATTGTTCAGATCATGTAACAGCATAATTGTCCATCCCACAAAATTTAATATCTAAAAAAAAAACAAAAACAAAATACAATAAACTAATTGAATTTCTTTTTTCCAGGTTTTTCAGGTAGGACGTTTAGCTATCTTGACACCATTTGTTGTAAGACTCACTGAAAACCATTTTAAGTTATTCTACTAAAAAGAGAGCAATATATATATATATATATATATATATATATATATATATATATATATAATGATAAAGTAATTTTTTCTCGAAAATGGTTTCCACGACAAAAAAAAAATGAAGAATATTTTCTTCAGTACAACTTTCGATTTTTAGGCAGGAAAAGATTAATTTCCTTTAGGAAATACGCCCACAGACTAAATTTAGCATTTATATTACTACTACTACTACTACTACTGTTACTGCTACTACTGCTATTGCTACTACTTTATAATAATGTATAAGAGTACGTCATGTGCATTCGATCGACAATGAATATGTCCACCTTGTCGACTTTAGCTAGAATAATATTAATAAGTAACCATGCTTTTCATCTATGAAACTTAAGCCATTAGAAGGTTTTATTAACATTGTAATATTTCTTTTTCTATTATTACTTGAGCGATAATAGGATACCTTGTTACTAAACACAAAATCAAACGAGAAAGTTGACTGATAAAAAAAATCCTTTCAATAAACATTTCTTGAACTAAAAAAAGAATGGCATTTGTTAAAGTATCTGATGACTTTCCCATAGGGTAAAGGATTTTAGTTTCCCTCTTGTCTTAAATTATTTCTTCTTTTTTGTTTGTTTCCCTTTTGTATTGTGTACATGCATCGTGTGAGGTCTGCTTACTGTTAAAGTCAATTTAAGTCAATGTTATATCATTACTGCTATTTTTATACAACAGAAAACAAGGGTTAGTCGTTATGCATTAGTCAGTTTTTTGTGTTTTCTTGTTTTTGGTGCTATCATTAGTGAGTCAGCCGGTAAATTCTACAACCTTCTTTATGCAGACAGTCTATAAGTAATATACATTCTGTGCTATCCTCTGCTTCATATTAGATCTCTTCATAATTCACTCGACCTGCTGGCTCAATGTGAACGCTAAGAGGAAAAAAAAAAAAAAAAAAGTCGCCTTTTGCGCAGGGGTCCGTGCATAGCATCCATCTCACGAAACAAATGACCAATATAAAATGATTTAATCACGAACGTTGTTGCTAAATCAAAAATATGAAAAAAGATGGGTCATAATCGACAAGATCTGCTTTTAAGAACGCCACTCACATCACTGAATGACAGCCGAGGTGAACCAGTGACATCGGTCAACCAACTTTCACATACTCCAGGACCTACCGACTCTCCCAATCCTCCAGTTTGTTTCCCTCGCCCACAAAGAGATATTCCAGTTATATACTCTGTATCGGCAATGCAAATCTTAACGTCTTGTCTTCTTTTCTTTTCGTCTCACCGATACTATTTCGATGTTTTTTTCGTGCTAACATGCCTACGTTTATTACAACAGTAAGGTTTAGGGGAGATGATACACATACACGGTTTATCAAGAGCTACAAAGGACATGAAATTCTGGAGGGCTATGACCGTCAACTTGCTGAAAGGGCACAGCACAGAGAAGAAGATTTTTATGTGAGAAAGTTTTAGTTTTGTACTCTTATTTTACATAATGTTGTAATGTCAATTTTTAAAAGTATATTTTCCTAATTCTTTTTCTTCTTTACTCAAGCTTGCCAGGTAGATTATGTGTTGTTTTCCTCTGTCACACTTGCTTTCAATCTGTCCTGTGAGTATCAAATTTTCCAAGCCCTCTTTCCGCATTGTGCCTTAGAAATTTCAACAGTCTCTTCCTGATGTCATATTTGTTTCTATTTTTTCTAAAATTTGTTAGGTAGGTTATGCGTTGTTTTCCTCTGTTTCTCTTTGCCTTCAATCTGTCTTGTGAGTATCAAATTTTCCAAGCCCTCTTTCCTCATTATGTGCCCTTGAAGCGTCAACTCTCTCTTCCTGATGTTAAGTATGAGTGTCTTTTTTATTTCCATTTTCTCTAAAACTTGCTAGGTAGGTTATGCGTTGTTTTCCTCTATCCCTCTTTGCCTTCAATCTGTCCTGTGAGTATCAAATTTTCCAAGCCCTCTTTCCTCATTATGTGCCCTAGAAATGTCAACGGTCTCTTCCTGATGTAAAGTATAAGTGTCCTTTTTGTTTCCATTTTCTCTAAAACTTGCTAGGTAGGTTATGCGTTGTTTTCCTCTATCCCTCTTTGCCTTCAATCTGTCCTGTGAGTATCAAATTTTCCAAGCCCTCTTTCCTCATTATGTGCCCCAGAAATTTTAACTACCTCTCTCTCATGATAAATACCCTTTTTGTTTCCATTTTCACTAAAAACTTCGTCGTTACGCACATGTTCGTTCCATGGTATTCTTAGAATTCTTTTGTAGAACCGCATTTCTGTTACCTCAAGTTTCTTCACCATTTTTGAGGAGATTGTCTAACATTCGCTGCAATGTAGAAGTACCGATATTACAAAACAGTTCAATACTATTTTATTTGTTCCTAATTACATTTTCGTGTTTCTTAATTCTTTGCTCAGCTTTTGCAAGGCATCTTTCGCTATCCCAATGCAACTTCGGATTTCAGTGTCTCACTATCCGTCCTCTGATAAAAAACTTCCCAGATTTTTGAATTTTTCTTAACTAATGTTACAAAATATTTCATTAACAGAAATGCTTTTTTTATATAAATCCAGTCGAGTTCTGTTCGTAATCAGAATCTTTAATCCTGAGTAAATCGCTGAGATAAACCTGTTAGCGCTCTCATCTTGGTGTGCTGCTATTAATTCAAGTTAAATCTTGTTCCAGGAGATTGACATTTCAAGGGAAAAAATACTTAGTTTTGTTTTAAAACGGCTTTTAATCAAGTGTTTCACGAGAGATCCAGACTCTGGCGTAAGATTGTCCTGGAGACATGAATAACAGTAGGAAGAGACAAAAGTTGTTGGAACAATTGCAAAGTCTGTTTTTCCCGTCTTAGACGAATCAGTAAAGATTAACTTTTTATTGTTATTTTGATTAGTTGCAAGTCAAATTTGGGAAAAGAATTGACTTTTTCTTTTATTGCATTGAATGAATCTTTGGAATGTTGCTTGGATTTTTGTTATTCTTTTTCTAAGAACTTCTCTTTCCCGCGATTTCCTTACTGCTTCGGGTCTCTCATTATCAGCAATTACCGGTTAATGACACTCATTGATAAAACAGTTTATTCTCCAAGTGGGAAAATTCTCACGAGTTCTTTTTTAAATAAATTTTAAACTTGTTTTTCAAGGGCAAAGCTTGACTGTCTCTTTTTTTCTTTTTGCGCGCGATTCATTGTGACTGTGTGTCGAGGTGGTGAAAGAGAGAGAGAGAGAGAGAGAGAGAAATGACAAAGAGAGAGAGAGAGAGAGAGAAATACAGAGAAATAGAGAGGTCGGAAAACAGAAAGATCGCAATTGGAAGAATAAAAATAAAAAAATGCACGCGCGCAAGATAGAGAAAGAGAGAGAGAGAGAGAAAAGGCAAATCGATATATTGATTTAGAGTACAGCAATTTGCTGTTGAGACTTATATTTATAAAAAGAAAATCGGAGTGGAAAAAAGAAAGGACAAAGAAAAATGATAGGTATTAAGAGACTGATAGATAATGAACAGGCTGTGATAGATGAGAAAAAAGATAGATAGGTAACTAGACAGATAGATGAAAAAAATAAGATAGACGTAAAGAGATAGCGATAGCGAGATGGACCTTGAAAGATGGGAAAAAACTAAAATATATAGACATAAACAGATTGAAATAGATAGATATGAACAGATTGAAATAAAATATATATATATGTGTATATAGATAGATATGAACAGTCTGAGATAAATGAATATATATGTGTGTATATACACATACATATATAGTTATAGGTGATAAGAGACTGATATATATATATATATATATATATATATTTGGTTGGATAGATGTCAGCTCTATCTCAGATATTGAGCGCTTTCTAATAAGTACCGAGCATATAATATATAAATAATTATACATATACATATTTATTTATATTTATATACATATACATATTTATTTATATTTATATACATATACATATTTATTTATATTTATATACACTTTTCACACACACACACACACACACACGCACACACACACACACACACACACACATATATATATATAGAGAGAGAGATAGATAGATAGATAGATAGATAGATAGATAGATAGATAGGTGTGATGTGAATATAATCTATGGATCGAGTGGGGGGTGAATTTGATAGAACGAACACAAAGTTATACTTTGATAGGTTGATTGAACGATAAATCTACAGAAATATATACATAGATTTCTATTTTTATTACTGTATATACATTTGAATGTTATATATATATATATATATATATATATATATATATATATATATATATATGTATATATAATAGATAGATAGATAGATAGATAGATAGATAGGCAGACAGAAATATAATAGAGAAACAGAGAAAGATAGAAAAAAGGGAGAGAAAGAAGGATAGAGAGGAAGTGGCCTGCGAAGAAATAAACTGGTGTTTCTTCTTTGTCCATGAAAGGTGCCATCGTTCAATTTTCAACGGCCAAAGACTATCGAGGTGACATGATTAACACAACATTTTGTTTCCCAAGCGCTAATAATTGACGCTATCGACTGCTGCCGAAAAAACATTTGTGATGAAACCGGTCCGTATTTTCCCTCAGGCAATCGGTCTCAATGTGAGACTGTCGTTAACAATTCCTTACCCTCAGGCCTAAGAAACGGGAGGCGAACGTTGATTGTACCAATTCATTTCTGAATTGGGCTGTCTTGTTGCCCCGTTGCACTGACTTGAATGGTGTGTTGAAAATAAATAAATAAAGGTATACTTAAGTCTCACGGGCCAAAGTTCTCGCGTTAATTTCAACGCGGATTTGTTTAAAAAAAAATAAACAAATAAAATAAAATTTAAAAAAAAAGAAGAATAATGAGAAAAGAAAAAAAATGTTTACAATTTGTTCAAGAAATACTACATTTTTTATATATGTTTGTCAATTTTCGGGACAATGATTTTGAGAAAAGGTATTTTTTTTTTAAATAAAATGACACATTTTTTTAAAGGAGTAAGAAAAATAATAGATAATGATGACGACGACAACGAGGAAAATCAAGATGATATGTGAGAAGAAGGGAAGAGAGAGAGTGGGATAACAATGACGATGAAGAAGAGAAAGATTGAAAAAGTGAAAGTAGAGGAAGAGAAGAAGGAGGAACAGGAGAAGGAAGAGGAGGAAGCGACTAGCAAAAAAAAATATGAGTAATGATACGCAGAAGACAAATAGGACAGAAGAGAGGTGGGGAAGAAAGAAAAGAATGATTAGTAAGAGAAATGAAAGAAGAAGAAGAAGAAGAAGAAGAAGAAGAAGAAGAAGAAGAAGAAGAAAGGAACGGTTGAGAAAAATGGAAGTTACAGAGCAGAAAATATAACTGAGAAGGAAAGAAAGAGAATGTTAATGATATTGGTAAGAAAAGATGGTGGAAAGGAGAGGAATAAAAGATGGCGTTTAAAATCTGAAATATTGTAAAGAATTAAAAGCTAGTATGGAAGAAGAAGAAGAAGAAGAAGAAGAAGAAGAAGAAGAAGAAGAAGGGGGAGGAGAAGGAGAAGTGAAGGCAGAGAAAAAGAATACTAGGAAGAAGTAGAATAGGAAGAGAATAAAAAGGGGAAGGAGGAGAAAAAGTAGAAGAAGAAGAAGAAAAAGAAGAAATAGGGGAGAATGGGGAATAGAAGGAGAAGTGAAAGTGGAGAAGAAGAATAATAAGACGAAGGTGAATAGGAAGAGAAGAAGAAGAAGGAGGAGAAGAAGAAGAAGAAGAAGAAATAGGGGAGAATGGGGAATAGAAGGAGAAGTGAAAGCGGAGAAGAAGAATAATAATAAGAAGGGGAATAGCAAGAGAATAAAAAGGAGAAGAAGGAGAAAATGAAGGAGGGGATTTTGGAAAATAAAAAGCGTGGAGTAGAATAGAAAGAATTGAAGGAGGAAAAAGAAGAGAAACAAGAAGCAGAAGTCGAAGCTAACGAAACAGAAAAATTAGATATAATAATGATAAGGAGAAGAAAAAAGAAGTGGAGGAAGAAGAAGAAAGAAAAGAGCAAGGATTTGTAAGAAGAATTAAAGATTTCTGTTGGCAAAAGTCCATAGATTTGTCCACCATTTTGTTATAGGCTTTCTGCTGAAAATATCGTCTAGGAAAGAAGGATTCTGAGATATCGTATGTGTCGGAAGCCACTTTCCTCATTTTTCCATCAAGCTATATACATCAACGGCCCGAAAATATTCGACTAAGAAAGTCGTGACAAAAAAGCAGCAACGATTTGAATAAAAACTAGCTAAACAAAAATTAAGTAACTTATTTTAATTGGGAATGTAATTTGAGACTATTGCGAATTAGTAAAATCAAAATATGTCGAGAAGTTTTGAAGTTGAGTAGTGACTATATAACTGTAGAATCTGTGTACCGACTAACCATCTGTTTCCCTGGCTGAAATGGTCAGGGCATCGTCCATGAAAGATGAGTTGGCAGGAAAAGTTACAATTTCCCGATAATTATTTACATTGTTCGGACTGTTGTCCTCATGTTTATTGCCATATTCATGACGTTTCGGCCGTTGTACGCTCCAGCCTTCTTCAGGATATTTAAATTTCGTCCACCGGGGTACATTGCTCTCGTTCCACACGCCTCTTCTGAATGTCTGAGTTATCGCCAAGTTTTTGTTCACCAATGCAGTAGCCAGGTATTGAACCCACAATTCTTTGTGTCAAGTGACTAATACAGCGGCGAACAGAAGAGGCATGGCACGCGGAATTAGAAAATAAATAAAGGGTTTCGTTTTAAATTCCAATCCACTGAAGAAAGCCGGAGTGTGTAACGTCGTGAATATTGCAATAAAGATGAGGACATCGAACCGAACAATGTAAATAATTACAATACCTAATCTCAGAAATAGAGACAGATATCAACTATTTAAATATTCGGTAATATCAACATTTTTGTAACGAAAGAAACAGAAAACAGATAAAAATGTTGTTTCTCCGCAAACGCAGTGAAAGGATTTTTATCTAAATGTTACGTTTATGGAACGACTGCTCGAAAATTTGGAAGTCGTTGTCGGCACTGGTTTTAAGATATGACGCTATTAACAACCGTAAATGGCCAATGTATTCCCCTACAAGATATTTATTCTGGATTTTCTTACTGGTGGATTCATTTTTAATGCTTATCATCCTCTTCTCGGCTATTTAAATCCAGAAAATATTTTTAGATTGTAAGAATATTTTTTTGCAAATAAAAATAATTTAATGATACAAGTCTTACTAATTAACCCATAGCTTGGGAGAGAAGAGGTGGATTCATATCTTTCCTGTGAATATAACGAACTCAACCGAGATTGGAACTCGGCTCTCCGTTTAATAATTCTGGGCCATTATCCATTACACCACCTGCACATCCAAGCTTACAGCACCTGATGTTCCCAAGAGGCCATTCATCTAGGTCAGGGGTTTTGGCTCGCGAGCCACTTTGAGAGGGCCGTGGTTAGCCGCGGGCCGCACATTCTAAAAGATATTTATTAGTTATTACTGCATTTCATTTAATGCGAAGTGTAAATTGCATAACAATAAAACTAAAACAATAGGGGTACGTAGAAAATGTTTCATTAAATTTATTTTTGCCCAAATTACAGGTCAGCTATAGATCAAGTAATGAGACAAATGTAAACACTCACACTTTTTTTACAATTCTTTTGAAATCAGGTTGACGTTGCTTGAAGAGATCCTCGTCACTGCCTGCAAGTTTATGTCAGTCACAGAGGGTCTAGTTTTACACTTGTTAATCATCATGCAAGAAAAACTTTACTGCCAAATATATGTGGATCCAAAAATAGAAAACATTTTCACTGCAAATTTCTTCACCCATGGAAATTTGTCAGTCGATAGACATTTGCAAAATTCTGTCAATGTCACAGAATTAAACATTTCTTTCAGTGTGTGATTTGAATGCGTGTCAGTTCAAGCTGCACCTCCGCAGATACAGTATTAATATCAGCAGTGAAAGGATAAGATAAAAAAAATTGAACTCAGGCTCAATTTTCTTGAAGTCCTGAAATCTTTTGACCTCATCCTCCAAACTTACAAAATGATCCCTAATCTTGGAAGAAACTTTTGCTTGTAATTTCTATTTTCCTAAACAAGGTGTTATGGTGAAACACACCTATTCTATAGTTAATAGATTCTCCCACCTGATATAAGTAGGAGTAGTAATAGAAACGACGGTCAGTCGATGTCTGACGACTGGCTGATCGGTTGAACTCTCTGCCTTCGGGCGGAGAGGAACCTGAACGAGGCTACGCCGAAAGGCAGTCTTGTTCGGGGAGGTAAACCGACCCTGAACCCGTTTTTACGGGTTTAAAAGGTATATTTTTGGCCGAGCCCACGGGCTCGGAGATCCCACGTTAAACCGGCCTTGTGCCACATGATACCTTCGTGGTGGGGTGACTAAATACTAGTCGATGTCGGACGACTGGCTGATCGATTGAACTCTCTGCCTTCGGGCGGGGAGGAACCCGAACGAGGCTACGCCGAAGGGTGGAGTCTCGTTCGGACAGGTAAACCGACCATAACCCGTTTTTACGGGTTCAAAGGGTATATTTTTGGCCGAGCCCACAGGCTCGGAGATCCCACGTTAAACCGACCTTGTGCCACATGATGCCCTCGTGGGGGGGTGACTAAATACTCTCAGTGGGTTGGTCAGTCAGTCGATGCCAGACGACCGTTAGTCTGATACTAAAGTATCAGCGACCACAACTAGATTTCTCTGCGTCATTACCTATTATATCAAGTTCCTAACGTTTTGTACGTCGAACCTATTTTAGGACCGACTTAGTGCAAATACAAGCCGCCACTGCGAAATCACTCCCCAACACAAGGGAAGTGACAAAACTCGCCCTCATCTGCTTGCCTTGCAAATAGAACTAATTTTGTTTTGAATGGGCTCATATTTCATGTACACACAACCCCTTTCCCTGCAACGTCATATTCAATTCATTTCATTTCTCAAACATAACAGCTACAAACATCATCTCATATCTCTACTCCTCACATCCCATTTTGGTCACAAAATTACATGAGATCCTCTTTATGTCCAGAAAATATAGGATTTCATTCTTCAATTCCCAAACCCGTCTTAGGACTTTGCCCAAGCTCAACCGCCAAACATTGTTGTGGTAAATCACATCTCTATACACTGCTTCCATGGACTCAAGCAGAGATCTAAATTGTCGATGTTTGAGCGCCTTTTCTTTAATTGTATTCACAACGCTCACTATAGGATCTAGCACATTCTTTGGGTCCAGTGCAATTTTACAAAGGCTTTCTGATGATGAAAAGACAGGATATCACTGTCTGGTTATTCTGCTTTTAACTTGATCGCTAAAGATTTACCGACATTTTTCCAGTAAATGCTCTGGCCCCATTACAATAGATGGGGCCAGAGTATTTACTGGAAAAATGATTGCCATTCTATTCCA